TTTTTTTTTTTTTTTTTTTGTCTCCTCTGTAAAAGAATTTTTCTTACCAAAGAGGGCAGGAGGACTTTATTTGGGATTTTATTCAACGTGAAGTAATGACCATTTGATAAGTTTATGTCACGTTGCCAGCTTTTACAAGGGAACTGCTTTCTTTTGAAGTTTTACTTTGCCAACCTTTTAAAATATAATATGTGCTATGTTTGAAAATGTTGAGAAAAGATTAATTATACCAATTTATCTCTATAATAACTAGAGCAAAGAGTGAATATGTTTTTTTAAAAAAAAATGTTATTTTTATTATATGGACATGGCAAAGCTTCTGATGCTGATCATAGTATAAATATGGAGGCATAGAAATGCTACATCGATTTGTCTTAGTAGTTATCCCACTCTCCTTTTATCATTTATTTATCATGATTTTGAAAAAAATTAAATCACTTGATAATTTCCCGGATTACTTTTTAGAAGAACTAAACTCATGAAATAGAGACTCGTAATTTAAGAAAGCCTATTAATTCTTAAGAATTTAAGAGTATAGATTGGTTTAAGTATAAATAGGTGCCCTAATTTCTGGAACTATCTGTGGTCATAATCATATGAATGTAACTCAAATGCTACGTAGGGCTGGGGTGATCTCTGTAAAAAGCAGGAACGAAGTGGAATTACATTTGGGCAAATTATATAAATATTTAGTATCTTTGTTTCCAGCTTAGAGTTACCTTCTTTTTTAGTTTCTCAATAGTCACCACAACTTAAAAAACATAATAATCTAATGTTTAGGAAAAGAGAAAGAGACAGTTAATGAACTACGTCAAGAATGATCTTTCAACCTGATCCAACTGCAGTAATAGAAGACTTGTTTTTAAAGACATTGGAAGCATCAGAGGAGAATGTTTGGCATCTAAGTAACTAAAATCTCTGGAGACCAGAAGCCACTATCTAGTAACCATTTAGAACCAGTCTCAGATGGTTATAAGTATTTACCCTTACTAATCCCTGTTTACATTTCACAACAACATGAAACATGTAGCTTAAACCATGGGAAGTGTTTAAACTAAAATTTCAAATGTATAGTATGCCCTTCTCTTGTTATTTCACTGTTTAAAACTTTGCCAGAGGGTGCGTGCATGCACCAGAGACAAAGCGAGCAAGTGAGTGGGAAAGCGAGAAAGCACCCCCCACCAGAGATGGTCACGCCGAGGTCCTTTCTCTTCCATTTCTTCTCCCTTTGGGATTTTGGGCATGAACACACTAGTGCAGGGTGTGTTTCTCAAGCCATTGGATCTGGAACTCATTCTGCACCGTCAGCCATATGGGATCCAGCTGCCTAAACTACTACACAACCAACCGGCCCTGTTCGGTTTTACTGGAGTGTGAATTTAACCAAAAGGAAGACATTTTAGAATACGTACTCTATTGCTTTATCTAGTTACACAATATTATGGCTTTTTTTTTTCTATTATTTTTAAACTATGAGTAATCTATAAAGCATTTCCACTTTGAGCCAGTAATTCACTGAATAAATGGTATTATAGTAAAGATTTGGGAAAGCGCCTTTGTTCATCATTAAAATTCCAGCCCATAAAATTATTCTCAATATGGACTTATTAAATCTTGACTCAAACCCAACTTTCAGTTAGGTGATTATAGGATATTCTACAGTTCCTGAGAAGTTGCCAAAATATTGAAAATTAAAGTATACACAGGAAAAATGACATGGAATATCTTTTGCTAAAAAAGACAAAGAAAAAATGTAAATGTATACAATACTTTAAAAAAGAAACTAAATTTTTTCTGTTTTATTGCCATGCTTTTCTACAGGAAAAAGATCTATTAGGGAAAGGGCCTCTTGAATTACGCAGAGATGGCAAATGGAACAAATAAACATACTTTGATTTACAAAGTTGAATCTCAACTTTGAAGTTAGACTTTTATCCTTCTCCGAAGTGACATTTGATTGCTATTGTGTAGCTTGTGTCTACATCTCTTTTACTTTCAGGAGTTGGTGCTGATACAGTGGGGTAGGAGCTAAATATAGTATTGCTTTCTTGGAATGAATTGTAGTTTTAAGCAAAAATGTACCAGTATACTGAATTGATTGATTTTTTTGTTTGTTTTTTATAAACATTGCATTCAGCAAATCCATAAGCTGCGGAGAGAGCTAGTTGCATCACAAGAAAAAGTAGCTACCCTCACATCTCAACTTTCGGCAAATGTAAGTCACTTTTGATTATTATAATATCTGACAACAGATTCTTGTGTAGTCAGATGAAATAATTTATGGGACAAACTTACACACTTTGAGTTCCCAAAATTACAAAGACTTAAGTCCCTGAATGGTAGAACTCATATAAAGTTACACTCTTCTGCATAGTCAGTTATAAAATATCAACTCAAATTACCCAGGGGTTAAAAGTAGTTAAAATTTCCCTGTATCTTATGAGACTGGAAACAGAGTTATACATAATAGTTGCTCCTTGTTTCTTTTTTAATTGTTATTTTTTGTTTCTTTTTCTGTTGGGAGTGGGGGGAGGTCATGATGCATTTTTGCATAGAAAAGTATGTCGTGACTTTCCCAACGACCTAATATTTCTTCTATGACATAAAGAGAAAGAAAGAGAGGCACCCACAATACAACTTCTACACTAAGATATACCCCTAGGCCCAGTGAGCCCAGATCGTGGGCACAAATGAGCCTGATAGGTACCAGAAAGCCTGAGAATACAAACCCAGGACCTTCCCACGTGGGTATGCCATCTCAGAATGTTCCATTACTGCTGCGCCACCTGCTGGCCCTCTTGTGTATTTACACCACTCCTCATATGTAAGCCTCTCTCAGGGCACAGTACCATTAGGGTTGTCGGTGTTTGACTTCGGAAGATAGAATCGTTATAAGCCTTGTCTCCTTTAGTTCAATTTATTGAACAGTTTGCTAGACATCCAATTAATTCTTTTCTTTTTGAAGAATTATTTTATTTATTTATTTACTTATTTATTTAAATTTGACCACAGAAGGAGAGAGAGAAAAAGAGAGAGAGAGAGAGAGAGAGAGAGAAAGCAGACCACCAGGTCCAGAACTTGTGAACCACAGCTGGCCATGTGGGAGTCCAGTGCCATTAACCCCCATGCCACCTGCCGGTCCCTGACATCCAAATAATTCTAGAAAATGAGCTTAGTTCTAAATGTGGATAACTTGCCTTCATTGTAGATGACATTTTCAAAAAGCCTTGGCAGTCTTACACTAACAGTTCAAAAGAATACAGTTTTACTGGTATGTAGGTAGCACAGGATGGCAAATATGATAACCACAGAGATGATTAGTTATTTTAGCACTTACTGATTATCTTTCCACGGACCAGGGAAGACTCAGAGATGATGCAGAGTAACACAGGAGAACATGTGGCATGTGCCCAGCCCTCAGGGACAAGCATGCTAGAAGCAGCAGTGAGGATCAGAAAGCTCCTGCTGTGATGCCGTATGTCCGGCCGCCCTTGCTCAGCACAATGCTCACTTCTGCCAAGAGCTTTAGGCTTGCTGCCTACCCCCAGCCCTACCACCCTGCCCTCCGTGGAGTTCTTCCCTGTCCTAGACCAAGCGTGACATATCAAGATCCACAGTATATGACTGAGCAAGAAACATTTTAAGAATGAAAATCAATGAATAGCCTAAATCCCACAGAATGGAATCAGTTCATTCCCAATGTGTTCATTTTAGCAGAGTAGTTATTTGGTCTTATTTTTCAGCTTTGGGAAAGGCAATTATGGATACACTCTATTTCATTTATATATATATATATATTATTAGGATATTCTTCAAAATAATACGAGGTTCGGGGCCTGACATGGCATGGTGGTTAAAGGCACTGGACTCTCACATGGCTGACCACGGTTCAAGTCCCAGACCTGGTTACTGACTTTCTATCTCTCTCTTTCACTCTGTCCCTCTCTGGCCAAATTAAAAATAAATAAATAAAGTTTAATAAAATAATTCTTTAAATAAATAGTATGAAGTTATTGAGTTATTTAGACAACACTGAAAAATAACAATATTACTTAGCGTAGGTTGTGTTTCTAAGAGTAATTTTTTGATTGTTTTTTTGAGAGAGAAGTTTTTGCTATAGGGTACACATATTTGCTGGAGAGACAGAAAGTAAGAAATCACCCACTCAGGGGATATGGCCATGCCACAGTCCCTTCTCCTCCATACTCCTTTCAGGATTTTGGGCACACATGTACATGTGCTTGGCATGAGTTTCAAACTGCCAGGTCTGAGACTTGAACCGTGGTCCACTACAACATAGGAGTCCAGCACCTTAACCACCACGCCACCTGCTGGCCTCCTCTAAGAGTAGTTCTTAGAGAGATGGTTCAGAGGCATGTGCAATGTCACCATATAGACTACACGTACAGCAGTATAGAAATTCCTCTCTAGATTGTAGCCATGGGACAGAGAACAGTACAAATGCCAGGAGCATCTTGGGCTGTGTTAGCTGCAATAAGGAAGTCTCAGTGACAAGCTCTATGCATGAGATTGTCAAGATCCTTACAAATGTCTTAAACGATTACTCAGGATTTTATTTTATTTATTTGATGTATTTTAGTTGGTCTCGCTTTATAATTCAAATATTGAAGTAATAAGTGTTTACTAAACATATGTCAATGTCTTGTCATTGCTGGCCTTTTGCTAGTTTAAAAGGTGCTAGGTCTGGAGAAAATGCCCAAATTTCTCCACCTCTTTCCCAGTAGTACATATGTTATTATTAGTAGTACTTCTTTTTTTTTTTTTTTTTTGCAGAGGTTTTCACTATAGGGCGCATGCACTCGCCAGACAGACAGAGACAGAGAGACAGAAAGTGAGAAATCACCCCCCAGGGGGGATGGTCACACCGCAATCCCTTTTCCTCCATTGTCCTCTCGGGATCTTGGGCACGCACGCACACGCGCCCGGTGTGAGTTTTAAGCCACTGGGTCCGGGACGCAAACCGCGGTCGACTACGTGGGAGTCCAGCGACATAGCCATTACGCTAACTGCTGGTTCCCAGTAGTACTTCTTGCATGCAGATGGGAGCATAATATTTATCCTATATTTATACTCTTATTTATCCCTTCATAATATATCTTAGAAATATTCTCAAATCACCTTAAAGCCCCCAAACTGTGTACATGGAAGCTGTACATCTGCAGGGGGAGATGACCACTGTGCAGTTTCCTCTTCTCCATTCTCCTCTTGGGATTTTGGGCACACACTTAAGTGTCCAGTGTGACTTTACAGTTGCTGGGTCTGAGACTCAAACCATAGAGTCAGCTATGTGAGATCTAGCACCTTAACCGCCATGCTACTTGCTGACTTGTAGCCTTATTTTTTAATGACTAAATGAGTAGCAAACAACCAAAATGTACTTGGTAGATCAAGGGATAAACAAATTCTGATACATCCATATCACAGAATACTACTCAGTCATACAAAGAAATGAGTTTTGAGTATGTATAACAACATGTAGAGATCTCAAGTGAATTATACTGAGTGAAAAAACATACACAAGGTCACGTGTGGCTAGTGATTGCTTGAGGCTAGGAATGGTAGAGAGACGTAGTGTGATTGAAAGGCAGAGGCATGGGGGAATCTTTGTGGTGATGGAGGTTTTGTATCTTGATTGAGGTGGGCATTATGTGAATCTATATAGAAGGAACTCCTAGACATTTCTGAGAAATAAAATGAATGCGTGATTTTATTTTGGTGCAAAAATGTTAAAATCCATGATTTTCATAATATGCATTGTCCATGATTTTTTGAAGACCCATTATATGTAATTGTTTCTAGTTTAAAAACAAAGTACCTAAAAGATCTTCCACATTTTTTAAAAAGTCTAGTTTTTCATTTCCTAGGCGTTTTAACCCTATTTCACAATTTAGTGTTTCTTTATTTAGTGGCAATATGGATTGCTAAAGCTTTTTACCATCAGATAAACTTATTTGCTGAAAATGTCAACAGATATAAACTAAAAGATTCAGACGATAAGCTATACATTATCTTATACTTTGTTAACAAATTAGTTTATTAAAATTTACTTTAGATTAAATATTAAAGTATCTGAGAACTTAGTAAATGGATGCATGTATAAATTATAAAATTATTTTAATGCCACTAGAAGGTAGGCAAGGCTACTCTTTCTTGTGCTAAGAACACCCTGCCCTTCACCCATCTAGGGACACAGAGAAAGCAGGTCACGTAGCCTCCACTGTTCACCAAAAGTCCCTTGCCCACACAAAAAGCCCCTCCCCCAGCCAAGCCTGCCACTTCTATTTTTATAAAAGTTTAATAATATCATGTAATGCAAGGTATGGAGTCATATATATATATATATATATATATATATACACACACACACACACATATAAATGTCCATTTGTGTGGTGTGTGTATGTGTGTGTGTGTTTGGGGCATGCATGCTTACACGGCCATCATTATTTTCAAGCTGTCACATCTGGGACTAGAACCACTGTCTACCATGTGAGAATCCAGCACCTTAACCACCATACCACCTGCTGGCCCCATTTGTGTTCTTAGGGGACAGTATCCTTTCTACACGTAGGAATTTGAATTTCTCATGTCTCCTATTACCTATAAGTCATCTTGAAATCATTAATTTTTAGTCTTTAGATTTCATAGTTCATAATGAGGTATCAAAAGATTTAGTTAATATTTGATTTTCCCTCAGTTCTGAGAAATGCTGTGTTTAAATTTCTCTGAGTGTATTTCATTTCATTTTATCTAGGTTAATATCTGTTGATGTATAAAATATTATATTTTAACATACTTATAAATTAAATCAATCCTAGGAAATGAATAGAATTATTTTTGTGTAGAATTTTTCCAATGTAAGTCAATGATTTTATTTAAATATTCAATTCCTATTTGGAGGTAGAGATAAGTCTTGATTTATTATATTGTTTAAACTGCAAGTAAACTTATTCCCTTCATGTTAAATGTGAGTATGATCTCCACATTGAGGACTGTTATATTAAAATGTAATGGCTACAGGACCAGCAGATGGTGTAATGGCTGTATCACTGAACTCCTAGGTAGTTGACCACAGTTTGAGTCCTGGACCTGACAGCTTAAAAGTCATGCCAGGGGGGCCAGCAGTTAGTGTAATGGCTATGTTGCTGGACTCCCATGTAGTCGACCGTGGTTTGCGTCCCGGACCCAGTGGCT